ACATCATCTAAGAGATGTGATGCCTGGAAGAAGGGATACAAGGGTGGTCAGCCAGATATTATTATAGAGAATCCTATGGGGAAGTATAAAGGATTTGCCATCGAATTCAAGTCTCCAAAAGGCACTGGAGGCGCAAGTGAAAAGCAAGTGTTATGGTTCCACAAACTTATGAAGATAGGTTACATGGTGATGGTGTCAGATGACCTTGTAAAAACTTGCATTAGAATCAACGAATACTTTGCACTTAAGAAGGTCGCAAAGAAGGTCACAGTGAACAACACACAGTGCGCTGTAAGGTTGTACAGACCTAGGTTCAGTTCAGGTAAGTACTAGCTGCGCTAGCAGCGACCAGTAACGTAGTTACTGCTAGTCAGGTCATCTCACCAGTAGATTTGAGATACCTCACCAGCAGATTTAAGTTACCTCACCAGTTATCTCACCAGTAGATTTAAGTTATCTCACCAGTAGATTTGAGACATCTTACAAGTAGATTTAAGTTTTCTCACAAGTAGACTCTAGATGTCTCACAAGATAAAACCCAGTTAAACCTAAGGTATCTTACAAGTAGAATGGAAGATAAACCTGAGCAAACTCAAGTAGTAACAAGTGAAAAGAAGAAAGACCCAAAAAGAGTAGCTGCAGGAAAACGATTAGCCGCAATCAGTAAAATAGCAAAGGAGAGGAAAAAGAAACTTGCAGAACCTGAGGAGTCATCCAGCAATAACATAATCGCATATGTAGGAGTGGCCATCGCATTGATATCTCTTGTCCTAGCATTTAATCAGCATCAGAGGGAAACAAAGAAACCAGAACCTAAGTACATCCCTGAAACTGTAGAAGTAACCAGGAAAGCTGATGAGTCCAGGTTAGATTCACTTGAATGATACGTTAAACATAATATATATTATAGCAAGATGAGTAAAGAATCAAAGATGACCGCGGAAGTGTACAACGCAGTGTTACTTACAGCAGGAGCAGTTGGTATATCAATGGCATCGAAAAAACTATTGAAAGAGCCGTTAGGCACCCCAGAGAATGTAAAAGGAATGGCAAAGTTAGCTGTCTCAGTTAGCCTTTCATCCCTACTAGTATCTTACTTGAAAGAAAAGAAGTATATACCAGATGATCCATTCAAACCTAAGTAAGACTATACAATGGCGGGAGCAGTAGCAGGAGGACTCTTTAATGCATTTGCATTTGCTGGAGCAGGATACTTATTTAAGATGTTTGATAAGAACGGATTTGCAGAGGAGGCCCACAGACATAACCTTGCAATGGAGAACCTAACAGCTGAAAGAGAGAAGTACCTTGAAGAGGTCACTGATAGAAGAAATAGGATCGCCGAACTAAAGTCGGAACTAGCCGAGGCAAATAAGGATATTAATTCAACGAATAAGTCACTGGAACTCGTTAGAAGAATCAATGAGCTTACACATAAAGCTGTGCCGAGAAGACCGCAATTAAGCAATCACTACAAACCTAGCTCTGAGATGGAAGAATATATGGCAATCTTTGGTTTAATTGTAGGTGGGGTGGTTGGAGGGGCGGCTTATTTAATTCTATAAAAATACCACAATAAATTTTTACATATATATTATAGAGAAATGGACTGGCTTGTATTGGTAGACGTTGACGAAGTGGTAGCCCTGGGAAAAAGGGTGGACACTATAGAAGAACTAGAGGCTGCAGTAAAAAAATATGTGGAATGGAGAATAATAAGGAGGCGTAAAAATAAACCACAAAAACAAGCAGAAAATTTTAACATATATAGCATAGGGAATGGACTGGCTGACACTGGTAACACCTGACGAAATGGAACGAGTCGGTAAGAACGCAAAAACCATTGAGGAGCTAGAGGCTGCAGTAATGAAATACGTGAGAAATAAAATGAGGGTCAAACACACATACGAACCAGTATGTAGTGAATGTGGTAGTAAGTCCACTGTGGCGATAGACGGAGCAGATGTATGCACACAATGTGGCACAAGTGATATGAACGGCTTTACATACTATGTTAGTTACAACAACAACAAGGACGACTACCTGAAAAAGAAGTCTCACCATAACAGAGTCCGCTGGTTCGAGAGACACTTATTAGAACATGTTGCTTCTGGGGACAGGGATACCATACGGGAGCAGTTTAGAAGCATCGTAAGATGTATACAGAGACTTAGGCTGCAAAGGGGGCGCAACATAGTTAGATATAAGTTCTACCTACTGAGGATAGCCAGCATGAACAACATCACGCTGAGAAACCCTCCTGAGGACATTAAGACCAAAAGAATTGTGAACATCCTTGAGGACAGACTATATGGAAGGGTTTTCCCCGAGTTGGGATGGGAACCAGAAAACTGTAAATATTATAATAACTGGAAATTAAATAACAAATAAAATATTAATTATAAAATTAAATAAAATATTAAAATATTAAATTAAATAAAATATTAAAATATTAAATTATTAAATAAAAATTATTAATTAAATAAAAATTAAATTATTAAATAAAAATTATTAAATTAAATAAAAATTAAATAGACCTTTAAATAGGTCTATTTTTTTTTACCTATAGTATATAGAGAAAGAGTGAAAAAAATGGCGACAAACTTCGACATGAACAACATGACCGTGGAACAACTTATGGCACTTAGTGAGATAGTTGATGACAGCGATATTAGTGATTTCGAAGATGAAGTGGAGAAGATAAAGAATGACGAATTCTATCGAGTTGCACCTAAGGATAAGGGCAAAGATCCCTTTGAAGGAAAAAGTCAATTCATAGATGAAGGTGACCGTTCTACTGACCCAAAGAGACCAAGAAGACGCCCATTGAATGAGAAGGGTGAGAGGGGAATTATGCCGACGTGGAAATATTCCGAGAGACAGAAGGCAAAGGCTTTACTAGTTGAGGAGGCATATCAAAGTCTACTCAGTCAGGGAGTTGAGGGTTTACCACCAACAATGGGAGGTAGATGGAGAACGGATGATCCTCAGGTAAATGCGGAGATGAAGAGGCTAGAGAATATTAGGAATCCGAAGCGTCCCAGAGGAAGGCCGCCAAAGGCTAAATCTGATGCCAAGGTTGTGATTCCAAAGAAACGTGGAAGACAACCAAAGGCTAAGGTTGACACTGAGGTTGTTATTCCAAAGAAACGTGGAAGACCAGCAAAGGTTAAGTCTGAGGCTGAGGTTGTGATTCCAAAGAAACGTGGAAGACCACCAAAGGTTAAGAAGCAAAGTGTCGCGGAGAGGTTTATGGCTCAAAAGAAAATAAAACTCTCGATTCCTGCGGATAGTGTGATAACCCAGGTGGGACCTAATAAGTTCACGGTGACGGTGGATCTAAACAAAAGACCAACAAGGAAAGCTCCTGAGGTGCCAAAAGGTGTAACTCCATGGAGGCCTGTTCCTAAGCCCAGGACAGTGTTCCCTAAAGAGAGACCGGTTCCTAAGCCAAGGACGGTGTTCCCTAGAGAGAGACCAGTTCCTAAGCCAAGAACTAAAAAGCCAGTGCCTCCTCCAAAGTTAAGAAAGCCTGTGAAGGTAACGAAGGAAGTTGGGGAACAGCCCGCAGTGGTCACACCAGAGAAACACGAGATTGATCCATTTGGAACATATCTTGAGAAGCCTTCTTATAGAAAGATAGAAACTGCCGCAAATGGTGCAGCGGTGACTTACTCAATAACTCCAAACTTTATGGATCCCTTGGACCAGATGACAGCAAGTAGGCAGGTTGTGAGGGGAATTCTAGTGAACGAGTTGAAGAGAATGGGAGGTCTAAAATATACGGAGACAATTAAGGTGAGAATGTCCAAGGAAATCGGAAATGATAAAACAAAGAAGGATTCAGTGTACTTTAAGTCAAAAACTGGAACTGCAACTAACTTTGAGATATTGAAAGCACTGCAGCTCAGAACCAACTGACTATCTTATCCAGAATTGAAACTTTCCAAAACTTAGGTTCAAATTGGATTATTCTGAACATTGAGAGTCATTATGTTAATATTGCAATGTACAAACCTCTCAAGGGTAGTTCATATATGAAGTTACCCGCAGACATTAGTAATCCAAAATGCGGCTTAATTAATATGCAAAACATGGATGAGAAATGCTTTATGTGGAGTCATGTGAGACATTTGAGGCCAAAGGCTAGGAGGGCAACTGCTATTACAAAGCAAGATAGGGAGTTCGCGGAGAACCTAGATTATGAAGGTATTGACTTCCCTGTAAAGATAAGTGATATTGACAAAATTGAAAGAAGAAATTCAATAAGTATATCTGTATTCGGTTATAAGGGCAAAAAGCAGTTCTACCCAATCAGGAACTCAAAGACTAAATATGAGGAACATATGGAGTTGCTGCTCCTTGGTGACAATGAAGGTGGTAATCATTATGTCCTAATAAAGGATGTAAATAGAATGCTCTTCAGTGTTAGCTGTAACTCGAACAAGAAGCACTTCTGCTTGTATTGCCTTCATAGTTGCACTAGTGAAGAAACACTGAAGAAACATAGTGAGACATGTGTTAGTGTAAATGGGACTCAAGCCACGAAGCTTCCCAATGCTGGTTCAAAAATAAAGTTCGGTCATTATAGAAATTCAATGCCTGCTCCATTTGTAATCTATGCTGACTTTGAGTCTATGCTTGTTCCTGAGGAAAGGAAAGTGGAATCAGAGGGCACTGAGGAGAAGAGTTCAACAGAGCTTTACCAGACACATAAAGCTTGTAGTTTTGGGTTGAAGACAGTGTGTCACTATGATGATCAGTACTCAGGTGAATATACGAGTTACGTTGGTGAAGACGCTACAGAGGTCTTTTTGAAGACAGTTCTGAAGGAGTCTATCAGGTGCCGGAAAATGGTGAATAAGATCTTCAAGAAAAAGATGGTAATTACACCTGAACAAGAAGCTGAGTTCTGGATGACAAGGAACTGCTCCATCTGTGGATGTGACTTAGGTGATGACAGAGTCAGGGACCATGATCACGTAACTGGACTGTTCCGTGGAGCTGCTCATAATATGTGTAACTTGAAATATAGAATTACATGGAAACTTCCAGTGGTCTTCCATAATCTAAGAGGTTATGATAGTCATCTGATAATGCAGGAGATTGGCAAGTTCAAGATGAACATTAACGTTGTCCCAAATAACATGGAGAAATACATTTCCTTCTCACTTGGTAAAAGTCTAGTGTTCATTGATTCCATCCAATTCATGGCTTCTTCTCTAGAGGCACTTGTGAATAACCTTTCACCTGAAGACTTCAAGATAGTCGGTACTTTGATCTAGTACGACAAAAAGGAATATTTCCCTATGAATACTTAGATGACATTAGTAAACTTGACACTGAGGGACTTCCAAGTAGAGATGAATTCTACTCGTCTCTATATGAGTCTAAGGTGAAAGAAGAAGATTACCAAAGAGCTTTAAAAGTTTGGGATCACTTCGGAATGAAAACGATGAGGGACTACCACGATCTTTATCTAGAGACTGACGTTCTTCTTCTAGCGGATGTCTTTGAGAATTTCAGGAAGACTTGCCTGGAAAATTACAAGCTTGACCCTGCTCATTACATCTCAGCTCCTAGTCTAAGTTGGGACGCGTTCTTTTAAAACAGTCAGGTGAGGAAATAGAATTGGTAAGTGATATGGACATGTTTCAGTTCTTTGAGAAGGGAATGAGAGGTGGGGTAAGTCATATTGCTCATAGACACTCTACGGCGAATAATAAGTATATGGAAACGTATGACGAAGAAGCTGAAAACAAGTTCCTTATGTACCTCGACGCCAACAATTTATACGGCTGGGCAATGTCTCAACCTCTTCCAAATGGAGAGTTTGAGTGGATCGAGGAAGTTGATAAAATAAATATTGATGACTACTTAGGAGACAGTGGAAGGGGTATGGTTCTTGAGGTTGATATGGAATATCCAGCAGAACTTCATGAACTTCATAATGGTTACCCTCTAGCTCCAGAAAGTAAGGAGATCGATGTGTCAATGTTATCGGACTATGCTAAGGATATTGCTGATAAATTCCAGCTGACAATTGGAGGTGTAAGGAAACTGGTAAACTCCTTAGGTCCTAGGAAGAATTACGTTCTACATGTTAGGAATCTGAAACTCTATATGGAATTGGGAATGAAACTTATGAAGATCCACAGAGCAGTCTCCTTCAAGCAGTCAACTTGGCTGAAACAGTACATTGACTTCAATACTCAAAAACGATCAGTCGCTAAGAATGCGTTCGAGAAAAACTTCTTCAAACTAATGAATAATTCCATCTACGGAAAGACTATGGAAAATTTGAGGAAGAGAGTTGATGTGAAACTAGTGTCGTCGGAAAATGATCTCCTTAAACTTACGGCGTCTCCATGCTTCCAGTCACATAGGATTATGAATGAGAATCTAATTGTAGTCAAAAGGCTAAAGGAAGTTCTAACTCTGAATAAGCCGTGTTATGTGGGAATGAGTATCTTAGATTTGTCCAAGACTCTAATGTTCGACTTCCACTACAACACAATCAAGAAGGAGTACGGTGACAAGTCAAAGCTCCTCTTTACTGACACTGACAGTCTAATGTATGAAGATTAAGACTGATGACGTGTATGAGGACTTCAAGAGGATCGGTGAGAAGGAAGACTGTTGGGACAACTCAGATTATCCGAAAGATTCTCCGTATTACTCAGCTCATAATAAGAAGGTAATTGGAAAGTTTAAGGATGAAGCTGCAGGAGTGCCGGTGATAGAATTCGTGGGGCTAAGATCGAAGATGTACTCTTATGTAAAGGAGAGTGGTGGAGGTGGAATGACAGCAAAAGGTGTAAAGAAATATGTGATCAGGAACAAACTCACTCATCAAAACTTTAAGAATGTAATTAAGACTAAAGGTCGGATGAGACATAAGATGAACACAATCAGAAGCATCAAACATAAGATTGGAACTTACCAGCTAAAGAAAATTACACTCAGCTGTTTTGATGACAAAAGATACCTACTTGAAGATGGTGTTACAAGTTACGTGTACGGACACCACTCAATAGGAAAAGTAAATTGTTAAATAATGTTGAAAAAATAATGCTGAAAAATAATAGAAAAATAATAAAAAAAATAATACCAAAAATAATAGAAAAATGGTCTAGAAAAATATGAGCCCGCGTTTTTGAGGGAAAAATATGGAAACCGCTGACCGGAAGTTGGGTGAGATCGCGGGCCGAAAAAGTGGTCTAGAACCCTCATTCCCTATACTACTCCTCTGCAGAGGAGAGAGATCCAGCGCAATGTTTAAAATGAATGAAATGGGTGTTCTGAATACGATATTTATAATCTCTGATAACTTTACTTGGTCGCGTTACTGTGCTGTGCCGCTAATTGGTCGCGTTATTGTGTTGTGTCGTCTCATTACCCTATTGTGATGCTAATTTGTCTCATTACTGTATTGTGTTTTGTTGCGTTACCTGTCACATTTGTCCCACGCCTGCCCAGAAAGTGACGTCATACATTTTGCATACTATTTCCGGAGCAAAGTGACGTCATTGGCGGCATCCCTTTGGTCTCCAGATTGGGGTGAGGTATCACTACTACCAAGCTTGATGGCATTCTCAGTCTTCTCACAACGTTGTTCTAACAAATCTGATACAGTCATGATAAACAAGAATATTATAAGGTTCACGACACAAGGTTGTACCAATACTGCTATATCATAAATATATTGGACTTGTTGGAACAACCTTCTAACAAGCCTGATAATATTAACTCATTCTCATCCGGTCGAAATGTAGCAATTTTGAGTGGTGTTGTTTTAAACGCAAATATCTTTCAAACTATATATCGAATGGAAACAAAAATCGTACGGAAAACACTTTCCAGCGATAGCAATTTCAATTTCATCACAAGTTTGGTTGACGTAATAATTCGCATATATGTGACCTTCCTTGGGAAATTGTACGTTAACGATTTGGCATTAAAACGGGCAAAAAAAAACGGATAACGAACGAATAGTAAACGCTTTGTCAAATCGTTTTAACGGATCGTCAAAACGTTTTAGACGTTTTGAGTGAAAAATACGAACGGATGAAAAAATTTAACGCCTTTACGAACGGTATTAACAAACCGTTCGAAAGAAATAAAGAAACCGTTTGAACGCCATTCCCCCACCGTTTCAACTGATCTGACTAACAGATATAGTGGTATAAAGCAGTGATCAACATACAAAAACGTCAGTATAGTACACTGAAAACTGAACCAGAATTAACAACCACGCATTTATCCAGATGCGTGCATAAGCATGCAGAAATAAAATAGATCACTTTGGTGTTTATAAACGTTCCAAGTTTTGTCGATTGCGATGCTAACAAAATCAAAGCCCCAAAGCGGTTTTGCCCTAACACGGGGCGAAAAAACAGATTTGCAATAAATTTGCACACTTGCAAATTAGTTGCAAATTCAATAACTAATTTTGCAATAACTTTGCGTATGAAGTGTTTTATATTTGCAACTACTAAATTTACTTAAAATTTGCAAGCTGCTTTGCACAATCTGCAAATTTATTTCTAACTTTGCAATAAATTTGCCAGCGAAGTAAGTTCATTGCGTAAATTAACTTTGCCAAAAAAATACTAATGACTTTGCCATAAGAAATTCCCTGTGGCATATGTTTATTTATATTTACATCAAATTTGCCAGCGAAGTAAATCCGTTGCGTATTTATTACAAATTTTAACTCTCCTTAACTTTGCAAGAAATTACTAATGCCTTTGCAATATGAATTTTCAATGGCAAATTTATATCTAAATTTACAACAAATTTGCAAGCAAAACAAATTCATTGCGTATATTGACTTTGCAAGAAATTGCTAATGCCTTTGCAATATGAATTTTCAATGGCAAATTTATATCTATATTTACAACAAATTTGCAAGCGAAAGAAATTCATTGCGCATATTGACTTTGCAAGAAATTACTAATGCCTTTGCAATATGAATTTTCAATGGCAAATTTATATCTAAATTTACAACAAATTTGCAAGCGAAACAAATTCATTGCGTATATTGACTTTGCAAGAAATTACTAATGCCACTGCCATATTAAATTTCAATGGCAAATCTATGTCTAAATTTACAACAAATTTGTCCGCAGAGTAAATCCATTGTGTAAATACACACGTTACAAATATTAACTCCTTCGTTACTTTACTTTGCAGAATAGTTCATCTGATGTTGTATATATATTATTTAGTATATTCTCTGCTATAACTATAAGGTCTGTGGTGGTCATTATTTATGGGGAGAAGGGGGGGGGGGTGTTGTAAATGTGGAAAATAAGGATTGAAAACTTTTTTGACCCCCCCAGTGTAGATTGAAAAATTAACAGCAATGAAACAGGTGTGCGTTGCAGGTAAAGTTAGATATTAGGACAATCTGTTTAATCTAGCTCATTATGTTTTATCCTGGTGAATATGATTCAATCATATATAAATAAAAATATATATTATGTGTTACTACTTTGCAACGCAACATTTGTAATACCATAACCCTAACCCATGGCCCGCCTTCATACAACGAAATGACTTGTCTGGGGTGGGCATCTACAAAAAGGGACCATACTATATTGAGTGTGGAGAGACGATAGATGGTTGTTGGTGACAAAACGTTCGGTGTGTGGTATTGTATGTGTACTAGTTGGGGTCTGGGGCTATTAGGATCTGTGGTATTGTATGTACTGTATGCGTATTTTTGTATTTTTCCACCTAGAACTGAAATGTGAGCATTTTCTGAAGTAGATTTTGGATATACAGCATTTATACATATTGTACTTTTGATAGACCGAATCTGATCAGTTAAATTAATACTTGCATGGTATGTTTATGTAATACCACAACTGGGTCACTCATGGGGTAGGAAGCTTGTTAAAACTTAGTGGGCGCGACTCCCACGATCGCGAGGCTCTACCATGGTTGGCGCCGAGCAGGAAATTGAAAATTTTGAGTCTCTAGATCGTTGGAAATAGCATTTTTCAGTTTCTTTTTTTGCTATTTTGTGATTATAGAAATCAGAACTCTAGACATGGTATTTAAGTTCAAAAACTTTTTTACCTTTCTCTGCGTTAAAACTTTTTGGCCCCTCTATTTATAATTATATGTGTATAACTTCGTTTGCCCCCATTTCCCAAACCCCCCTCCTTCTCCCCATAAATAATGACCACTCCCTAAGCCCGGAATCTTGCCGATAAAACTGCCCAACACTCAACAGTGACGAATGAGGGAAACTGAGCGGGGTATAGTATTAATAATAACCGAAAGCAAGCTTGAAAGCTTTTATTCAGTAGTAAAGGGTTACTTTAGACACCTGACCATTTACGCTGAAATATCCCAACTTTTTTGCAAACATGCATACTTGATAAGGGACGACACGGGCCTGTTGAGGAATTAAAGCAATTACTTTAAAGATATAGGGTGGACTCTCAAGCCCCCCACCCCCCTCAAGACAGAAAAAAATGAGCCGCAGAATTGAATGCATTTAATTAAAGGAACTATATGCCAATGAATAATTACAAGCTATCAAAGCATTAAAAATGTGAAAATAGTCGACTTGTACCACAACAAGTAAACATAGTA